GGCTGCTGGGGCGGGGGGGGGGGGCAGTCAAGGTGAAGATGCAAGGAGGGGGGATGGTCTGGCCTCCCTGAGAAAGGAACATTGGAGCACAGAGACCCAAGGGAGGCGAGGGAGGGAGACCTGTGACAACAGAAGAGCATTCTAGGCAGAGGTACTAACAAGTGCCAGAGCCCTGACTTGCCTCAAGTTCTTGGAAAATACAGCAGAAGCCACCGTAGTGGAAGCTAGGGGGCGGTGGGGGGAAGTGGCGAGGGAGCAAGACTAATAGGAGAGGTCCGGTTCCTAAAGGAGCAGGAAGAAGGGCAGGTAATTGTTCATGCTGCCATGAAAGGCGGCACCCTTGGTAGCAAAGTTACCCTTCGTAGCACGTTCCAGAAGACCCAGGGAGAGCAGAGGTTAGTGTTCCTGGGGGAGGAAGTCGGAGGTCCCGGAGTGCAGGGCACACGCTCCTGGAGGGGCCGCTGTCTGTGGGTTCCCGATGACCCACCGTGGGCCCCGCTCCAAGGGCTCACTGAACACCTAATGAGTGGAACAGACCTCCTGCGGGTGCCGGACAACCGGTCATCGGGCATGAAAGACATGCAGGGGCGCTCGGTGAGGCCCGCTTGGTGAGGCCCCCTCGAGGCGTCATGAGCGACAGGGGCACGCAGGTGGGAATCGTGTAGATGGCGAGAGCCCTCAGCCCCAGCTCTGCGGAAGGTCTGGCCTGCATACTGGATGTCGTGAGTCTGTGGACAGGAAGAACGAATTGGAAAAAAAAAATAGGATGAGGGTGGGTCATTTTGGGTGTTTTTATATAAGACAAAATAGAGGAGAAGGGAGTTTTGTGGGAATCTCGATCATTGGCATAAGATGAAAATGTAATACTGAAAGCCATGAGTAGAGCAGGGACAACAGAGAAGCCGCAAGTAAGTGTGGGGTCAGTGTCAGTGCGCAGCAGGGTCCCATAGTGATGAAGCTGCTGGTCCTTTAGAGGATCACAGGCAGGGACCAAGCATGCTCCGGAGATGGAGACCAGAGCCACCGACCCTCCTCTGTGAAAGGGAACGAAGGGACTAGGACAGTTTGTAAGGTTTCCTTCGACTCTGCGACTCAGGAGAGAACATTTCGGCGGTCTTGAGAAGCAAGTGCCCATGGCAGGAGGTGGTGGTTCACCCACATTCACCTCAGCATTAGTTCTAGTCTGACAAAATAATGTCGAACAACGTAACCTACACAGATGTCCTCGCGCTATCATGGCGTTTACGAAGCAGGATACAAACATATTTACGCAAGCCCAACTGTGTAAAACAATGTTATGGAAGGAAATGTGTTGTTAAGAGTCGTTGTTTCTTCAACCCGAAGTTACAGGTGATTTTTAGTCATTTGCATATTTTTCTAGTTTTCTACGATTGGCATCTGTTGCTTTATTATAAATGGAGAAAAGTTCAGCTAAAAAAGGGCAGCAGTGACTCAGCAGTCTGCAGGGTTCCCCTCTGAAGGAAGCAAGGCTTACTGTGAAAGGGAATGAAAAAGCTCATGGTGGCGAGAACGTGACTGCTAGGATCGTTAAAAGCCAAAAAAGCCAGGGTGGGCTCCTGGCACAGCAGAGGAGAGGGCCACGGGCTCTTCCAGCCGAACATCCATCTGCGTTCGCTTTGAGACGTTTAGACAAAGAAGCTAGGACCAGCCTCCAGCCTTAGTCCACGAGGTCCTGAAGCCTGTCCAGGTGTCCCATAGGACACAGGACACAGCACTGCGCGGTGTGGCCGAGACACCAAACACAGCCTGCCCCTCACCTCAAGCAGCTTTGCTGGCTTGTTAGGACACGTGCCTGAGATTACTAAAGGATGCCACAGGGCCCTTCCTCCCTCCCTTCCTCATTCATTCATTCATTCAAAAAAAGTTCCTAGTGTGTATCACCCCACATTCTGGGGACAAAACGGAGAGCAAACTAGAGGGAGCAGGTGTCAGTAGGATTTAGAGGCAGAAAGCAGGGTCGGACTTCAGCAGTGGGGTGGCGGGTGCCTGAGCACAGCAAGGGTGGAAAGCACAGGGAGCAGGCCCCCCTCGGAGAGAAGTGCAAGTTCAGAGTGGCACCAGGTGGTCGTGACCCCGAACTCCAGGCAAAGGAGCTGCGACTGAACGCTGCGCCTGTGAAGGGGGAGAAGGGAAGCCGGGGGCGACCACCTTCTCCGCAGACCCACTTCTGGGCTTCCCAGCTGCAGTTTGATTTGTTTCTCTCTCGGGTGAGGACCTACCACAGGGCAGTTGAGGAAGAGAGAGATCAAAAACAAAGGCCAGGCTGGCGTTCCCATCCCTTCCGGAGGCCAAGCCTGTGGCATGGAGGGGGCGGGGCTGTCTTCCAGTCGAAAATGCTTAATAATAGCGATTTCTTTTTTAACCCACGTGTAATAGGCCCCAAACAGGGGCAGCAAGAGGGAGCACTCATATGAAGCCATGGGTCCAGGGCAGCGGAGTTAAGTCGGACCTCACTTTCTTCAGCACACTTGTTCAAATCGGGGTTCCAGCCCTGGAAATCCTCTCCACACCCTGATACCTAAACCCACTAAAAACACAGGTACAGGTTTTTACAAGCATTTGTTAAATATCCAAAACCATACAAAACACCCTCCTGCTGGGGATTCCCTACCTCCCCCTGTCCCGCACCCCCCACCCCCCTGCACCACAGGCCAGACTGGTTAGAACCCCCATTATGCTAATCTCACAACACAGGGCCCAAAGACATCTTTATCATACCTGGTAAGTCTTGCTGTCGCAAGCACAAAGCTCCAACTGTATTCAAACAGGGCCTCGGCCTCCTGTTTTCATTAATTCAGGCCTCCCAAGACTCCGGTCAGTACACACTACGGATGTAGGGGGCCTCCTCGGGGATAGCCCTTCGCTCTCCCATCTCCGAGCTACCCTGGAGAAGCCATGGGCAGGGGCCTGTGTGCAGATCCTCACAGGCTCAAAACCTCATTGCCCGCACAGATTGATGTTTCTGTTCTAATGGGCCCCAGCCTCATCCCCGGGCAGTGTGTCCCCTGCTCTCTGCCAAAGGAGTTGCTGATAAATCTTTATTCTCCGTGTTTGTCCTCTGAATGCAGCCACCTGCTAGAGTGAATGATTGTGACCTTCCAGATTCATATGTTGGAGCCTTAAGCTCAGTGTGATGGTATCAGGTGAGGCCTCTGGGAGGTGATTAGGTTCACAGCAGAGCCCTCGTGAAAGAGGCCCCCCGAAGAAAATCAAGAGGCCCCAGAGAGCTCTCTTGTCCCTTCCGTCCTTTGAGGACACAGCCAAAGATGTCCGTCTATGAACCAGGAGGTGGGCTGACCAGCCACCAAATCAGCCAGTACCTACATCTCGGACATCCCAGCCTCCAGAGCCGAGTCTGCTGTTTCTAAGCTGCCCAGTCTGTGGTGTCTGGTGCAGTGGCCCAGGGATACGAGGACAGCCCCCCCTCCCTCAGGCCGGCCCCATATCCTGTTCCCAAGTACGTGTCCTTTCTCTCCCTCTGGGCACTTTCTGTTCTTGCAAAACAAATAAGGGATGTGGTCAGACACCCCTTCCTTCCAGTCAGCTGTGGGAAAGAGGGAGGGGATGCTCCTCCCCGGGGACCCTCCAGACGCTACCCTCCGACTGCACCAGTGTCCCTGGCGCTGGATGTCACTCTGGTTTGTCCCCAGCACCTGGTGTCTTCTAAGTCCAGCAGCACTGAGTTCCAGAGCTCTGGGCCGCCATTCTGAAGTGGAAGGTTTGCGAACACAAAGGTATTGTATGCAGACGACTGCTGTAGAGGACAATTTGGAGGGGTCCTTTGAGGTAAACAAGGTTTGAAAAGATTTTTCAAACACGATGAGGAAGGTGTATATTACATTTAAGTTTTCTGCAGGTCAGTTGGGCAATAAAATCACTAAAAAATATTGCTGCCTTTGACTCAGGGACCGTACTTTTGGAGATCTAGCCTAAGGAAAAACCAGAATCCTACAAGCATCTTCCCTGTCACTTGTAACAGTGAAAAATGGAAACAAGTTGTTTGATAGGGGCACGGATAAATCTATGACAGGAGCTAATACGCAGCCATTAGTCATGTTTTTGAGGACTATTTAACAGCTTTGAAAACAGGTTCACAGTATTCAGTGAGAAGATCATTATGGTCAACCGTATGATTATTTTAAAAATATACCAGCACATAGGAAACAAAATATTGGTAGAAAATTAACAGTGCTTCTATGTATGTGGTGAGATAAAAGGTTATTTTTTATATTTTTTCTTTTTAAAAATTATTTTCTAAGATTTCTATAATTACTGTTGTCAGGAAAAAACGGTAGACACTTTAGAAAGTAGGGAGTATGTGTGATTGCATTACCAGGTAGCCTCTTGTCTTCACGCGTCCTGACTCCCAGCGCAGGGCTGGTGGGCTCACAGGACAGTAGAGCAGGGCTCCTCAACCCTAGCTCACATGAGGGCACGCTGTAGAGCGTCCAGAACAGTCAGTGCCTGACCCCAGCCTCAGAAGTTCTGATTGCCCTGGTCGGGGTCCCACTGGTGGTGGTTCTTCCAGCTCCCGGTGGTGCCGCTGTCACCCTGAGAACCGTGGATCCCTGTGCCTGTAGCACTGTGTCCCCCTTCAGGCCCCCAAGGACCCATTGGCTTCTCCTTCACCCCCACCAAGCCCTCCCTCGTCAGGATCTGAGAAACTCCCTCACAGACGTTTCCAGTGGCTTGTGGTGTCAGAAGTGCTCGAAGCCCCTGTTCAGAGGGCCTCAGTGAGCCCGTGTCAGCCCTCCCAGCTGCCCAGGGCGGGGGAGGGGGGCTTCCCCTGAGCTCGGCCCAGGGAGGCCGCTGAGGACTCACCAAGTGGGTCCTACCTGGAGGCTCCCTCCAACTTCTTGTTCCCGCTGGGGTTGGAAGGAAGGTTGCCATAGGTGTTTACGGAATTCCAGAAGGGAGAACGTGAGCTTGTGAGGACGCTGGGAGGGAGACTGGGCACTGACGGATGTGACTTCCCTCAGGTCACAGGAAGGCGGCCGCGAGAAGGGCAGAACATGACCGTCCCTGGGCCAAGGCGGAGTGAGCAGCTGCTGTTCCTGTGCCTCATGGCCGTCGCGGTGGCGGTCATCTCCCTGCTGTTCTACGCTCTGCTCTGGAAGGCCGGCAACCTCGCAGACTTGCCCAACCTCAGAATCGGCTTCTACAACTTCTGCCTGTGGGATGAGGGCACTGGCTCCCTGCGGTGCCACCAGTTCCCTGAGCTGGAGGCCCTGGGCGTGCCGCGGGTCGGCCTGGCCCTGGCCAGGCTGGGTGTGTACGGGGCCCTGGTCCTCGCGCTCTTTGTCCCCCTGCCTCTCTTCCTGGCCCGGTGCAACAGCAGCGAGGGAGAGTGGCAGCTGGCGGTGGGCTTCCTGGCCACGTCCTCTCTGCTGCTGGCCAGTGGCCTGGGCCTCTTCCTCACCTACACCTGGAAGTGGCTCAGGCTCTCCCTCTTGGGGCCTGGGTTTTTAGCTCTGGGCACTGCCCTGGCTTTACTTGTCCTCTTGCTTATGGCCATGGTCATGTTCCCTCAGAGGGCGGAGGACAAGAGCAAGCTGGACAGCTTCTAGTTCTATCTAAAGGCTTACATGATTGCAAGAGTTCAGTTTGAACCATGCTCAGAGAAAGTGCCAGAAAATTGAGGTGTTAGTATGTCCTCTCAGCCTGTTTCATAGGGAATGCTGATCTCAAGCCCTAGCAGATGGGCCCCACCCCAGAGAAAGGGGGGGTGCCCAGGGTCCAGAAGGCCAGGAGGCAGCAATGGTGGGACAACCTTTGTGCAGGTTTGTCCTTCCTGTGGGACTTCTGAGGTTTCCAAGGACACCCCAGACTATGTAGCTCCTTGTCCAGAGAACTCCTCTAACGCACTGATCTGAGCAAGCCTTTCTTACTTCGTCCTCAGGAGGACAGGGAGAGGATTGCCCTCACGAGGCCTGATTGCCAGGGTAATTGGCCATATATCAAACTGGAACCCAGGAAAGGTTTATGTCAACAAATGGGGAACATTATGAGAGAGAGAGTGTGCCTCAGTGTCCCTTGGGGCCCTGGTTAGCAAGCTCTCCCTCCCGGGGTGGGTGTGACGTGCGGAGCCCCTCTCCAGATACCACTCCCGAAGGCCCAGGAGGGACCCCTTGAGGGATTCACCACAGACAGAACCCGTGGGCACAAAGAGAAGCCTCGGAGGCTTTGAGGGCTCTCCTGGAAAGGCTCCTGGACCTGAGGCCAGACGCCGCAGGGGCGGCAGCGGGCAAATCATTCCTCGCACGTGCCCTGGGAGTCGGGAACAGAATGCGCCAGATCCCAGGGCAAGAGAGGAAGGCGCACGGAGCCGCCTGACGTACAGAGGCTGCACCTCCCTCTTCACTCCTCCACCGGGAACTGCAAAGGATAAAAGCACAACCTTCGCCTTGGGGGACTGTATTTCTCCGCATCTGCATATCAGAAAACCCAGACAGCGAACGACAGCCCCATTCCATGCCTGTCCGGATCCACCCTGAACAGAGACAGAAATGCGGACTCTGGCGGGATCTGGTCCGCTGTCTCCCCGGACTCCCGGGCCGCTCGTGCTTCACAACTGCCCTGGGGCCGAGGCTGAGCCGCCGAGTAGAAGGAAGGCGGCGGCACGGGGGGCAGAGGCCTTCCAGTCCAGAGCCAGGCAGAGGAGGGCACTGAGGGCGGGTCACCTGCCTCCCGGGCTGCACAGGTGAGGGGAACTCGGTTTAGAAGAAGCTTCCTCTGCAGGGAGAGATCACGTTGACGAAACGGTCAGGCTTCCTGTGAACTTAGCAGCCGTACTCTTTCTTCCTTCAAAGTTATTAAGTTGACTCTTTGGTTCCAATAAGTGTGACCCCCATGTCCACCTTTCCCTGAACCAGGGAAGTGAATAAAGCCAGACCCTCTGAGCAGAAGAGGCTCAGTGCAGAGAGAAATTGTAACAAAAGCTCATGTTGGCTCCTCATTTCCACACACTCGGCGTGACAGGTCCCAAGGCCCAGAGCCTCCTGGGCTTCCCCTCTGCGGTGCATCTGCCAGCCCAGGGAGGGGAGGACTGGACGGTGTCGGCATCCTTGGGCAGGTCCGGGGCCGGGAGGGGAAGCCAGCTTCTTCCAGCGTCCCGTGTAAAAGTCCTGGGGAGTCTGTCCCTTAGCTGAAAAATATTTCTCTGACGTATTTTAACATGTCCTCATCCTCCTCAGGGCTCCCGCTGCACGCAGACTCAGACCCTGGGGGCCCCTGAGGAGGGCTGAGGCCTGGAGGAAGGGCGTCTTTCCCAATGTCCTCATCCTCACTTCTACTCCCAGGAGATCCTGGTGACGACACTGAGAGGACTGGGGACAGAGCTGGCTTATCAGCGCCCACCAGAGTTGGAGACTCCAAGGGCTTTTCCTGTTTCCGGGCCTGCGGGAGTAGGAGATATGACAGGCAAAACAGACATTATGTTATTTCCCGAGTGGATGTGCGGGTTTATCCATCGGCGAGACAGAAGCCACTGTGAAGCCAGCGTGTGACCAGGTCAGGCACCGCTCCCCCATCAGAGCCTCTCCTCCCGCTGCCCTCCCTCCTGGCCCTCACAGCTCCTGTACAAGTCCAGACCAATGTGGGAGAGACGTGGGCAGGGGCCTAAGGAATACCAGAGTGGAAAAGAAAAACAGGAAAAACATCTGGAAAGGCAGGGGTGACAGAATGGAAAGAGCAGGGGATACAAAACTTGAGTGTGGGCATGAGCTCTGTCATTTATTGGCTGTGTAATTAAGGGGAAATCCCTGGGTCTCAATTTCTTTATCTGTAAAATGGGGATAATATCTGAAATAATGGTCACCAGGTGACGGCAAGGATTATATGAGACAATAACATACAAAAGTACCCTGTCAACAATACTAAGGTGCTACAATTACTATTTGCCTCAGAAGCCAGGAGATGTGGGTGGCCGTGGGCTAAGGAGAAGTACGAAGTCACCTCCCCCAACTGAGACCCTGCAGAGAACATAAGCAGTTCGAGACTTCCCGTCCCCTCCACACACCAGCACAGTCAGCCCAGAGACAGCGGCTCTCCCTCCCACGGCTGCTCCCTCCCCAGGTGTCCAGCCCCAAACATTAAGTCCCACCTCACATGGGGTGAGGCCACGGGGAGCACGACCTTGAGAGAAGTGCTAGAAAAGGGCCAGGTGGGAGAAATGGGATGACAGATGATAGGGGTCCCCAAGGCCGCCTGAGAATGCAGGACGTCTCTTCTACTGCCCCTCACCAGGGCCCAGCCCAGTTTCTGGTCCCAAGATTAAGAAGAGACACAGTTGACTTTACCTCAACCAGGATCCCCAGAGCGACGTCTACCATTTCAGCTTCATTCATGCAGTACACGGTCCTCGCTGTGGCAAGTCTGAAAGGAAGGCGTGATGCTAGGATGGGGACGCATGTGTCTCAGGTCTCATGAGAGGGAAGATCATGAAAGAGTCCCGTCCCTAGGCCTCCCCACCCGCTGCCGCCTTCCAATCTGAAAGGAGGGCATGATGGCCAGTTCCTGACAGCCAGTGCCCCGACAAAATGGACACCAGCTGACCAAACCGATCATCAGGCCAAGACGTGACTGACCCCCACCTCCACCCATGAGCACAGGAGAATAGGACCGCAAGTCAGAAGGGAGGTAAGTCAGTTAGGACAACACAGAAAAGGAAAAGCCAAGGAGGGGGGAATGCAGTGCCCCATCTAGGAGAGTGCAGGGACCTCCCCTCCCTGGCAGCCTGAAGGCTCCCCCAAATTACCACCATTCAACTAGCTGCCCCCACAGCTTCTGACTGCACACCAGCCCAGGGACTGCTCCTCTGTCTGTCCTTGAAGATCCGCCCACGGGAGATGGGACCCTGGTCCACTCAGCTTGACCACTGGGGGTCACGATTTTTGGTGCAAATGAAGAAAGTGGCATTTTGGACAACTGGCATCTCTGAGCACTTGGCTAACGTGTACACGCCAGAGGGGAGCACTGCCTGGGAGCTGAGCCTTGAGGGCCTGGCTGGGGAGATGCACCCGCAGAGCCGGAGCCTGTGAGGGGAGAGCTCACTTTACCCACCCCAGACCGTGCACCTGCGAGCTGAAGAGGTTTCTGCCAGGCTGAAACCCCCACCCACCTCCCTGCTCCACCAGCACCGGAAGGCTCAGCCCCAGCGACTGTGATGTCCCCAAACCCTCCCTTCTCCTGATTTCTCGGGAACCCCAGCCAGAAGTTGTCCCACCTCGCTGCGGCAGCCCCCTGAGCTGCTGGTCTCCTCCCCCTGGGGGTCTTCACCGCCACCTTTCTCTTCTCGGCCTCCTGGGCTGTCATCCATGTGGGAAGGACCCTCTTTTTATCCCCAGATTTTAAGTCTCCCATCTCTCTTTTCTCTCCTGAAGATGAGTCAGGGCCCAGGCTTAATGACTTGTGTTTCGAATTCAGGACAGCAAACTCCACTCTCATCACACCAGGAATTACAGGTCTGTGTGTCACACTGCATGGGAGTCACCCTGCAATTCCTACAAAGAACAAAGTCCAGTGAATTCTAAGAAGTTAGAATACTTCCAGTCAGCCGCTGTAATTACTGGTCAGCACAGGCCACAGGTTAGCAGGGCGAAGAGCAGGGCCCAGAAGACTAAGATGGGCCACTCTCCTTCTTCCTACCGTCCAAGATGCTTGCTGTCCCCAGGGTGCCCTGCCTCCCCTACCCTTAACCTATCTCTCCCTCATCTCCCCAAATCCAGACTTTTCATTTCCTCTACCTTGGTGTGGTTACAGAGAACCCCAAGTCCATTTTGATCCCTGGGAAGGTTGAATCAACCAACCAACCAACACCCTCTCCCTTAATCCGAAGATACTTCTGACTGGCCAGATTTTAGCTGGCTCTGGGATGGGAGAATCCCGAAGACCCAAGGGCAGCCTCTCATCTAACGGTCTCTCTTCTCCCCTCCCCCTAAAGCTCAGTCCCCACCCTGGGGCTCAAAGGGTACAAGTCGAACCCTTCCACTTGCCAGCCAACCCTGAAAGCAGCTCAGGGCTCCGCCTAGGGAGGACCTTACTGGAATAGAGTTTGCCTCAAAAAGGGTCAGCCACAAATAAGGGATCCCTCTCTGAATCATAATCATTTATTGTTCATCTAGAAGGCTGATTACAACTTAAAAATGAGCAGAACGTCATCCTAACCTGTCTGGCCAGAGGACAGACCTTGGCCAACGCACCTCGCTGCTGTCAGAATTCAGGCAATGGTAATAGTCATTCCCACAACTAAGGAGCACTGCTAACCGCCAGGCATCCCGACATCCATTCGACCCCAAGGCGGGTATTATCAAGCCCATTTTACAAACGAGGAACTGACTGCATGTGCACAAGGTTTCAAAGAAGTCTGAAATGGCCAGCCAGGGCTCGCAGCCGGGTCCTGCAGGCCAAACCCTGCGCCTAACCGACGCCACGCTGCCACGGGGTCGAAGCTCCAAGGAGCGCAGAGGCCCGGCGGGGAGGGCCGGGAAGCCGGAAGGAGCCCGCGCTACATGGGGAAACCCAGCCCCGCACGCTCGGGACGCGCCCGGCACCACCCCCCCGCCCCAAAGCCACCGCCCGCCGCTGCCTCGGGGACCCTGCACCGCCCTGGCCGCCCCGGCCGCGACGGGACGAGTGCCAACCTGCGGGGGCGAGAGTGGAGGGGAGGCACGTGAACCTGCACGCGACGCCTGGCTGACCGCGGGAGGGAGGCCGCCCGCACGCTCGCTCGCTGCCCCGTGCTCGGGGCAAGGGGGCAGGGCGGAGCTCAGTCCGGCCGGCGCGATCCTCCCGCCGGGGCTTCCCGCCCCGCCCCGCGCGGCCTTGGCACTTCCGGCCCCGGCCGCGGCCCGCGCGGAGAGCCGGCGCGCCCCCTGCAGGCAGCTCGCTCCGTGGGCGTCCCCGCCAGACCCGGACTCGCCTGCGTTCCGGCGGCCTGATCGTCTCTCCCGGGCCAAACTCGGCTGCGGCTCCTCTGAACTGTCATCTAGGCCCCGCCTTTGGAGCGACCCTGCCCCTTCTGCATTGTCCAGTTTTAGCAAGCATCCTACCAAGCCATTTTAGCCAGGACCCCCCAGCCTCAATCCTGACTGCCTTCACATTTGGGCGGGCTCCTCATCTTTCACCATCTTCCAGGTGATGTCTGACCACTGAGACTGCCTTCAGCAAGAATCCTAGTGCTGAGTTTAGCCAGAGCCCTCCTCCCTCCACCCTCCTTACTCCTCGTGTTTCCTCTTAGCAACTTTCCATCCACTGACCCCACCCTGCTCCTTAGCTATCAAGTCCCTCCTCCTGGCTGTATCCAGAGTTAAGACTGATGGCTCTCCCCTACTACAAAACCCCACTGTAGTACCCGCCCTTGAATAAAGTCTGCCTTGATGTTTTTAACAAGTGTCACGAATGATTTTCCATTTAATAGAATATTTTTTTCTTTAACGGTCCCCAAACACGGCTCCACTGGAGGTCTGCTAGTCGGTCTTTATTAGGGTGGCAATTCCCGGGCCCCCCAAGGGAGAAATTAGGATGAGGGGAGGAGGGTCTGCCTTTTTTAAAGCTCAGGATTCCCACAGGGATCAGGGTCAACTCTCCCTGGTGGGGGTCCACATCCCAGGGGGAGGGAGACAAGGTGAGCCCCTTGGGTGCAGGAAAAGAAAGCCTGTTCATATGTCATCTTAAAGGAAGTAGGTGTCACTAATACTCAACATTCAGATGGGTGGCCAGGTGCTCCCTCTGCGAGCAAGAGCTCCACAAAGCTTCCCAGGTGTCCTCGGTGGTCTGTGTTCAGCCTGGTGCTGAGCACTAACGTGGACACGTGGAGCTAGCATCTAGTTTTAGTTAAAATCAAACTCAGCTTACAGCAAAGAAACCTCCAGGTCACAGACATGACAAAAACCACAAGCACAAGCAATCACAGGTGAACCTTCTTTTGCTGCACTTCAAGGTAAAAGGATGATCAGAACTGTCCGTCTGACCCCAAAATGTGCAATTATCAAGACAGCCCTTTGAACTGTGATTTATAACAAATCCGCTAATGGTAACGACCCTCCATACACTAGAGGTGCACAACAGGGCAGCTCCAGCCCAAGCTTGGGGAGTCGGGACCCTGAAGCTCTCTCCCAGTTGTGTGGTGCTTGGGGTTTCTAAAGCGATTTCACCCGCTGGGCCGGGAATGTTTCACTCAATCAAGGCTTAAGGAGATAAATCCACGGTTTCAAGTCACAAAACCAACCCATTGTGCACTAGGGTGATCTAGCTGCAGGCCGAACCTGAACTCTGCCTCCAGTCTTTTCCAGAGGGCAACACCGGGGAGGGGGGAGGGGGGGCAGGCCCTGCTTCTCTGGTTCTGCAAAAAGTATTAGAACTGCTGACCTCCAGGGTCCTCTGCTCGCAAGCTGTGAGCCAGGCAAACCCAGGTCTAACTGGTGAAGCATCGTTTTGTTTTGTGAATAAAGGAACAGAAAATACTTATTCTTAGTGGACTCGCTCCCTCCGTATTTGCCTCCCTAAAACCTCTTCCCATCACCGGCTGAAATATAAGGTCTGAGGAACAGGAAACCTTTGCATCTGCACGAGCAGCTTTCTGTTTGAAGGGAGAGAAGTCCAAGTGGGACTAGAAACCGGAGCTGTGGGATCTGGACAGGCTGAAGTCAACGGCTAAAGTGCTTTGAAAGCCATGCTCCCAGGCCTGGCAGAGGCAGTAAGCACAGAGCAGAGAGCTCGGAGGACAGCAAGGCAGAGGCTCTCAAGCAGCCCAGGCTACAGCCAGGAGCCACACCCATACCAGGTATGCAGGCTGGGTGGGGGGGTCCTGAGCGGCACTGGCTTGACAGCTTCCCCATAAGCTGCCCTTGCCCACAAGAATGGGAGGAGTCTTGCTGGGGTTCTGGGCAGGTGCCGAGCAACTCTTGTGAAGGAGAAGGAAATTCAAGTCTTGATGTGACTGACTGCAGGATGAGAGCTCATCCTGGAGGGTCTGGGTGGCCCAGGGACCAACTCCAGGATGAATGTGGCCTGACCAGCACTCAGGATGGAGTGAAGGCTGGGGAGAAACGGGCCAGGAATGGGCAGGTTTGGCCACTTGTATTTGCTAATTTCAAAAGGTCAGTGGTGAATGGGATTTGGGTTTTTTCTGTTTTATTTTTAGTCAGTGTTATGGTTTTGTGTTTTCAGGCAGTGTGTTGTGGAACCCCACAGAATCTCAAGCAAAAGCCAAAACAAAAGGGAGGTGGATGTCCATCCCAGAGCATAAAGGAAAAGAGAGAAGACAAAGCTTTTCAAGTGTTCTTTGTTTCTTTGCAATCCTTGTGCCCGTAGCTGTGGAGACCATATTGAGAAGAGAATGGGTAATAAAGAGAAACTGAAACAAAACTTTGAGGTTAAACAGTGAGTTCTCTCACTCAAATGAAACACATGACAGCTTCTTAAATGTCCTACAGAATCTGTGGGGAAAATTATTTGCTGTTTCAGTGCAGAAGATGGGGACAATTGTAAATGGACAAGTTTCGGTTTTCTTCATTTGAAGAGAGGGTTACCAAGGTAGAAATCGGTAAAAATGTGTAAGTAACTACTTATCAGTCTCTGTTGTTCTCCCATAATTAAGCCATAAACCCCTACTCTTCCTCCAAATCCCAACAGAATGGGAGCCAAGGCCTTTGTACCAACTTCATGATTTTCCAGAATTAGGTCACCGGAGTACCCCCCTACACCCGCACCACCAGGACTGGGCTGGAGCCCAAAGAGGCCCTTCAACAGCTCTTCGGAGCATCTGGGCAACAAGGCCACCCCCGTCAGCCCTCGGAGCAGGAGACCCACCCCTTGCCGGCCTTCCTGGAAAAACAAGCTTGGCCCACTGGCAACCGCCCTCTCACCGTCCACCAGCAGAGGGCGCTGGCGGCTGGCTCCGGTCCACCTCCAAGATGGGAAGGAGACAGAACAAGCAGAGCCTCAGTGGCAGAAGGACAGGGACACCCACCCAGGTGGACGGGGCAGCTGGAGTCAGAGGCCTCAGACCCTAACCTCATCTCGAGAAGCTCCACCAACGCACAGAAGAAAAGGAACACTATGACCTCCCTGACTGCAGCCCAAAGAAAGAGGAAGAGCACAAACCTTACCTAGCCCGGCGGTGGGAGACAGGACGCCTAGCTCTAAGGCAAAGCAACAAGCAAACCTCCACACGGCTCAGCCCCACAGCCGGCAACACCTGGCACGCAGGGCCTCAGCTCGCAGCTGACCAGCTTCCTGTTGGAACATCTGCCTCTCCAAGGGCAAAGGGTGAAAAGGAGACGCTCTGCTGCACGCACGCGTTCCAGAAAGAGATACCAGGTGACCACGAGAATATTCTTTTTTTTAAAAAAAAAAAAAAAGGAAAAAATGAGCAAATATATACAAAATACTGTCACTCCCTCCTGGGCCAAGAGAGCAGCCATCTGCTGCATCTCCTGCTTCCTGAACTTTCGTCCCTGCCGCCTGAGCATGCCCCTTGCACAGCCCAGCACGCTGGTCTCTGGGGGCACTTGTGCCATGACTCAGTGTGGCTCCTGTCCGGTCTCTGCTGCTGGAAAGAGCCAGAGTTCCCTGGACTGTCTTTCCCTGAGGAGTCCCCACACTGGCCAGGAGCAGGAAGCACTCTGCTCTGTCTTCGGGTCCCGTCACTCCACTCCCCCAGGATAACAGGATAACACTGCCTCCGTGGGTGTCCCTCGGGGGGGGGGGTCCCGTCAGAGTTTATGAGCCAGCAGGGTGGTCAGCTTGATCTTGCCATCCATGGACGCAGTGAGGCACGTCCCACAGTCCATGGCCGTGCTCCAGTCCACAGTGACCACAGGGGCTCGGTGGCCGCCCAGGCTCAAGCAGCTCTCCAGAACCTTCTCATCCCCGCCTAGCTGCAAGACAGGAGAGAGGAGGCGTCAGCAGGCACTGTTCACACACACAGCCACTTTATCCACCAAACTGCCTCGAGTCTGGGGGCTGCCACCCCAACATGAGGACGTGCCCGGGCACGCATACCCATCTTTCCCTCCCAGAAGACCTCAGTTTAATTTCTTGTGCCAGGAAACACCTTCACTGTCCCGACTATAGTCATTCCTTTGTCTTAGGTGGAAAATCTGCTCAAAAAGACAAGAGAATGTTCTCTCTGCCACCTTTAACTCACTGTGGGCATGTGCCTTCTGCACCCTCCCCAAACCACACCCAAATCTGCTCCTACTGGGCTTATTGCTCTCCAGCATGCGATCACACATGCCCTGCTGTTTCCCATCTGCTTCCCCCTGGAATGCAAGCTGCCGGAGGGCAGGCTGTGGGTCCTCTCCGACAGCAGCCAGCACAGTGCAACGCCGGCCACCCTGAGGACGTGTGAGCAGGGCTCTCCCTCGCCCAGCAGCACCAGCCTCCCGGGACTCAGTCCACAGTGATGAGAGTCAGAAGGGAACAAGGAAGGGGAAGCCAGGAGCACAGTTAATAACGATCAATCCAGCAAAAGAAAACACCCATGAGTAGGAAAGAGAAGTCTGGGCCCTCATGGAGAAAACATCTTTAAAAAAATCATAGATCGTTTAAAGATTGTAAAAAGTGGATCTAAAGTTCATTATATTCCTTAAGAAATTAGACCGCATAACTGGCATTTCAAAAATTATACAGAGGGAAATCTTCCAAGCCATTAAATGGTTACAGAGCAAATCTGACAGCAAATCGTCAGCCCACAGAAGCCACCCTGGCTTAAATGGAATTCCAGAACCTTCTCATCCCCAGCCAGCTGCAAGAGGACAGGAGAGGAAGAGGCCCTTTGGACAAATGACAAAGGCTGACTGGAACAGATGACAAAGGCTGACTGGGACAAATAACAAGTGACGAGGCTCATGATTAAAAATACACAAATGTACACACAACACACAAAAAAATCATACACAGAGCAAAGTACAGGCTAACAAACTCAGTTTTTAAATAATAAAATACAATTAGGCTTGCAGACAGAAAGCTTTTCATAGCATCTTCTAATAGCAATTACAAGAAATTACAGAGCTAATTTTAAGAAGGGAAGAGCCGTTAATGCATTATCATCTGTGGAAAAGGGGAGCCTCAGTGATGGTAAGCCTGGATCACCCGTGGTGCCACACTCTGGACCAACAGTCGAGATGGCTCCCGACGTGCCACCTCTGCACGCCTCCCTCCCCCATTCCAGTGCTCTCACTTGCCTCTATCCCCGTGGGACACCAAGGCTGGCCTCACTCACTCGCTGGCCTCCCCACCTCCTGCTCCTCTCAAGGCCTCAGATCCGCGGACCAGCCCCCACCCGACAGGGGTCTCCCCTGAGGGCCCAGCCCCTGCCCAGCTTCCTCCGCTCAGAACCCTGCCCTGTCCTTGCTGGTCCTGAGTGTGAGCCCCACGACAGCAGGATCACACCCTCCCGTGCGCGCTCACACTGCTTTGCCCAACACCTGCACGCAGCTGCCATCCAGAGCACGTGCCGTCCACCGACCCATGAGCCAGGGTAACGGGGGCACGGAGAGCCCCCGGGCAGAGAATGTTCTTGTGACTCCACGCCTACACACTGTATAAACACTACCATTAGGCAAAGAGTTGCCACGGAGGCTAAGAACTGGTTTGTTACCAAAAACATATGCTTAGGAGCACCTGGATGGCTCGGTCAGTGAAGCAGCTGACTTCAGCTCAGGTCATGATCCCAGGGTCCTGGGATCGAGCCACCTCAGGCTCCCTGCTCAGCGGCGAGTCTGCCTCTCCCTCTGCCCCTGCCCCACGGCTCATGCATGTGTGCACGAACACTCTTCAACAAAAAAATAAAATCTTTAAAGAAAATAAAAACAAACATGCTTTGACTACAACTCAAACCCCCATCACTAGTCTGTCTGGTAATACTAGTAAAATAGATGAGGTTTATCATTGCAGACAGTTGTACAAAAAAGTACATGAACCAGAGAAGCTCAGTCATGAGAACTGAAACAAGCACATAAACTGAGGCACAAACCCCACGTGGATGACTTCCGTGCTGGTGTGAAGAGCCACACCCCCCGATTTCCGCCCTGGGCACAGGCTGTAATGTCTGTGACCAGGGGACCTCCAGGAAGCTAGTAAGCCTACACCAGATCAGTCACTGAAGCAGACCACGGAAGCACTTGTCCGTGTGTGGCACGTTCCCCCCAAACCAACACACTTCCCAACGCTTCTGCTTCTTCACATTTTCTCTAATAGATATTATGCCCAAGGAACAAAAGCGGAGGAGGGCCAGAATCTTGTCAAACGACAGCAAATGGACAAGCAGAAAAAAAGACAAACGTGTCCGTCCTGTCTCCACCCCCGAGCTGGGGATCGGCCCCCCTGCCCGGCCTGCAGCCACGAGGCCGCAGGCACCATCCCCCCCAGGTCAGAGGCTTCTGCACATGTAGCCGGCTTGGCCCTGGCCCACACCTCCAGGAAGGAACCTCTCTGCCCACCTGGACAGGCCCTCCGCCCCCGCCAGGTACCTTGTAGATGACGCCCCCTGTGGCAGAGCACGTCAGCATGTAATTTCCCTCCGAGTCAAAAGCGAAGAGCCGGCCCCGGGGCACTTGAACCTGCTTGTAGCCGCTGTAACCCGACAGCACAAAGGGGCCGGTGGCGTCGGCGGGGAGGCTGTCCTCGGACACCTTCAGGCCACTCCTGTGGATGTCCCACTGGATGAACTGCAACCAGGAAGCAGAGGCTGAGCGCTCGCTCAGCCACGGGGGCCCAGGCCAGACGTGGGGGTGCCAACAGGCCACCAGGAGAGGCAGTGCGGTGACCCCTTGGTCTGTGTTTTCCCAACACAATTCAAACATTTTTTTTAGAAAACAACATCTCAGAAAGAGCCCGCAACTTCACAGAAGAGCCTGAACTCTCTCTGGCCTGACTCCAGGAGAGGGAAAGGGTGGGCAACTGCCCGCACATGGATTCCCATCTCTCAAACAGGGGGGATGCACCATGTGATCGTTATTATTACTGTTGTTGTTGTTTCTAGGGTTAGAACCCAACTGGGTTTTTCCGACTTAGAAGAGAGCATAATTGCAAATATCTTCCCACCGTCTCAGCAGTGTAATCAATTGAACATGAGCAGAACTGTTATAAACTAGCTTCACGGCCTGTGGTGTACATAATCCTTTAGTCTACACCGTGGACAAGCTGTGTGACCACCTCTTCACTGAGACTCCTACTCAAATAAATAGGAAGTCAAGCTTTACCTTAAAAATCCCTCCCCATAGTTTCCAAATGCAGAATTTACTTTGAAATTACAGTTTTCAGTGAGGAATACAGGTACACAGTACAAAATCCAAGGGTACAGGTGGGTATACCTGAAAACCAAGTCTTCCTCTCTCCTCTCCTGCTGCCTCCCAGCCCAGCTCCCTTTCCTGGATCTGAACGTGTCCTTCCAGAAAGAATACACAAGGAGGCACTGATCTTCACTTATCATCTTTTTCTACTGGGCTTTCTGACTCCGCTCAGGCCTAGCCACACGGCCTCTAGGAAGCAACTCTATACACCCTGCTGTGACCCCTGATGACCCCAGCCAGCTCAACCCGGGCCCTAATCTGAACCCCGCATCCACCCAGAGTGGGAGGAGTCACTTCAGCTAAAACTTGGAGGGAGGCTGGGCTCTCCCTTTTCCTCGTCACCGACTCCCACTATGCCTGTTCAGACCTCACAACGGTCCCAAGACCAGTGACTATGACCGCCCCTTTGTATGGATGGCCTGCTGATGTGGAGAGGGGCCCCGAGGTCAGAGAGCCTGTGAAGGGCCCAGTCAGGGTTCATCTCAGCCCTCATGCTATTCTGCTGCCCTCTGGAATCTCAAGCCAAAGGAAGAAGCGTTCCGGGTCAAAATCCGGCTCCCGCCTACCTTCCCGTCCTCGCCGATGCTGTACACGGTGTTCTCGTCGTAACTGAACTCCACCGAGAAGACCTCCCCGCAGTGGGCCTTCCAGCTCATGGCGCACTCGTGCTGCTGCATATCTGCGGGGATGAGATGCCACTGAGACCCCCGCCAGGGCCCCAGGGAGGATCCGCCCATGACAGGCACCTTGGCCCTCCTCCCAAAGGGCTGGATCTGTTCTGGAGGTGGAGGATCTCCTGGAGCCTACAGGCATCCCAGAGCTGAGCCCTGCCAAAAAGCTCTCTCAGTGCACTAATTCTCTCCTCCGGTGTATTAAGCAGCGATTCAACAATTCTGAAGTTGAAGCTTTTCTCCCTGGGTCAAACACGAGGTTCAGGAATCCATGGCCAGAGACTGAGCTCATCTGGGAGGCACACAAGTCTAGGGAGAGAAACAAATGCTTCCTAGGAGGCCTCTGTAAGGTCCCATGGGGCGCCCGGGGCTCTGCTAGACTTGGTCCCTCATTACCTCCCAGACTCCAGAGTCTCCCGGGGCGGGCCTGCATGGAGCTGGGTTCCTCCAACAGCGCGCCCAATAACTCCACTGCATACCGGTCTAATGCTCTTACCAGGAGAAGGCACCAGCCACCCTCAGCAGAAGGCACGCCATTATTCTCATGTGCCCTCCTGGATCTCACTCCAGCCACAGGACTCGGACCACACAGCGCCACACTCAAGGACAGCTAAGCCCCACCACTCCCAGGCCCACGGACACCAACCATGTGCAGGGGGGCTGATTACAGAGGTTTGGAAAAGAGCCGACTTGGACCAAAATTAAGCCCTATTTCGAGCATCCTGAATTGGGTGGGCTTCTGCAATAGCTTCTAGTCCAGCCAGCAAAAATGCAACTTTCCTCTCTGGGCCACTGAAGGAGGGGACCAGACAGCCACGAGCATAGCTGCTTACCGAACAGCCGGATGACACCATCAGCTGCCCCCGTAACCAGCAGGTTCCCGTTGTGATTGAAAGCGGTGCAGTTGATGGCAATGGGTTCGGGGTCCAGAGAGAACTGGAGCTAGTTAAAAAACAAAACCAAACAAAAATACAACTAAATTTGAAACTGTAGAAGAATAACAACTCAATATTCAAGACAAATTCTTGTCTGAAAAGGGAAAGAGGACCAAGATTCGGAAGGGCACACGAGAGCATGGAAAGTGCGGGAAGGTTCCAGTTTCCAACTGTGACCGTACCTAGGTGCTCATGTGACAGCTTCTCTTCCCACTATACTGCACACCTCTGATCGCAAGATTCTTTTGTATGTACTCAGTATTTCATTAAAACTTTAAAGATAACAAGGAAACATAAAACTACTCTAAGTGTCTTTGAGGCAAAGAGGAAGATGAAGGATCTAACTAAGCTGTACAAGGGAAAGCACTGAGAGTGGCTGGAGGACAGACGTGTGCTGGGCCAGGTGGGGAGAACACCATGACCGGGAAGGGACAGCATGCAGGGGACAGCGCATGGGGAGGGCCTGCAGACGCAGGACACACTCGGAGGCTGGAGCAGCGGGGAAGGCCGACGGTGGGGGCCCTGCGGGGGTGTGGACCAGAAATCTGGAGGAACAGGCTCCGGGGTCTGTCGTTCCCTGCAGCAGGTCAGGGCCCACCACAGGATGTCGTGTAGCGTCCTACGAGGGGTACTTGAGACCCAGTCTAGGGTGTGTCCCTGGAAGCGCAGAGAAGTGGGCAGAATGGAAACGGTTTGCAGGTGGAGCGGATGGTGTCAGCCCACGGGCTCTGCAGGGTGAGGGAGGAGGGTGGCTCTGGAAGGGCACGCGGTTTCACAGTGGGGCACATGTGCTGAGACAAGGAAACTCGGGAGGAGAACAGACGTGGCAGGGCACGGTGGGCAAGAATTCCAGTGTGGCCCTGATCCCTGCGCCCCGGGGAGATCCCCAGAGGGGAATGCACCCCATCTCTACAGGCAGGTGCAGGGAGGCACAAACGGCCCATCTACAGGACAGGGACACTTCCCGGCATCCAGTGGCCTTGGGAACCCATCTATTGAACGCAAGGGCCACACCACATTTGCACCCCGAAACTAATTTCAGTAAGAAACATCAATGCCTTCTAAATGTGTGCATTTACACCTCATCTCTCTCTCTGGGCGCTCAGGGTCACTGCGGCAAGCACCTGCCACGGTGGGTGGGTGGTCCCCGGCTCCTGGGCCAGCTTTTGCCCGGCTGTCACTTCCCAGGAACCTGCACGTGTCCCCACTCCTTCCGGCTGCTGTTGGCACCTTTATGGTCACTATGTTAACAGGGAGTCAGAGACTCCGCTTGTCTCCTAAAAAACAAGCTGTTTGACTGCATAAGACAAAGTGAAAGAAGCCAATGGGACCACACTGTGAGATCCCGACTACACGATGTGATGGAGAAAGCAAAACTGTGGAGACACTAGAGAGATCGGCAGGTGCCAAGGTCTGAGGGGCGGAGGGGAGGAACAGGAGCACACAGGACCTTCAGGCTGCTTTTAGTGAAAATGGCCCATGTGGTACCATAATGGTACATACGTGTCCTCACCCACTTGTCGGGACCTAGACAGTGTACGACACAAAGACTGAGCCCGAGGGCAGACTGGGAGTGTGAGGGGGCCTCTGTTATAAAGAGAGTGCCGCTCTGCTGGGCGGGGGGCAGGAGCAGGGGGTAAATGGGAGATCTCTGGACCCTCCTCCCAATTTGGATGTGAACCAGAACTGCTCAAAAAAAAAAAATTTTTTTTTAAAGCCTTTCAATATAAACAAAATTAAATTTAAAAAATTTTTAATAAACCACAAGCGCCCTCTGATAGGCCGTGTGGGACTTCTACATCTGCGGCCCGATTCTGGATGACGCCAGTGGCCAGAAGCCAGCCTAGCTGGAGTGTGACTACTTTCCAACCCTTCGACTCTGAACCTGCTTCACCTACTGAAATCTGAGGAGACCAAAGCAAAGAGAGGACGAGGCTCATCAGAAGGCCCAGGAAACTGACACACAGGGCTACCCCAGGAGCGCAACCCCACACAGACCCACGAGGAGATCCCCAGGGGCAGGGCCGGCACCTGCTGCTTCATGGTTTTCGTGTCCCACAGCAGCAGCTTGCCGGGAACCTGGTTAGTACCCTTGCTGCCAATATCTGGAGCCGAGAAGTCCACCTGGGCAGCGAGGCTCGGAGCGGCGGCCGAACAGACGAAAGAGGCCCCGTTGGGGCTGCAGGCAAGTGACAGGATTCTGCAATACACGTGGGGCCAGGTCAGCATTGTGCCTCCCCCAGAGAAGTCAGGCTTCAGCTCTGAGGCAGGTCCTGCTACGGGGATGCGGCAGAAGGCCCAGCGCAGAACCAGCCCCGCAGAGCACAGCGGGTGTGGGCCGCGGCCTCCCACTCACCTGGGCATATCATCGTTGATGTTGATCTCACAGAGATTCTTCTTGGCTTCTGTGTCATAAAGACGCACCGTCCCCACACCACTGCCCAGCAAGAGCTAGAAGGAGAAGGGGCGGGGGATGCAAAGGACAGCTCATGCCTGGTCAGGGAGGACCACTGCGGGGCCAGGCCCACTCCTGTGAGGTGCGGGTCTGGGCAAGCTGCAGGGTGAGGCCCCGCCTCCACCCACCACCACACACTCGGGAGAAATCTGGCTAACATGGACCTCATTCAAAAATTACATGAAGAGGGGGACCTGGGTGGCTCAGTTGTTAAGCCTCTGCCTTCAGCTCAGGTCATGATCCCAGGGTCCTGGGATCGAGTCCTGCATCAGGCTCCCTGCTCAGCGGGAAGCCTGCTTCTCCCTCTCCCACTCCCCCTGCTTGTGTTCGTGCTCTCGCTAGCTCTCTCTGTCAAATAAGTAAATAATCTTAAAAAAAAAAAAAAATGACATGAACCCATCAGAGGTGACCTTGAACAGAGGCAAAACTTCAAAAGAAATCTATAGACTGGGAGAGAGGTATCGCCTCAGATACACCTGGAAATGTGCTAACTGATTAAATGAAGGCCCCTGACCTTCCCTCCCTTTCTGCCATTTTTCAGTCCCGGCAGTTCCCGTCCTCTCTTCTGGCTTCTCCTCTACCTGCCACACCTCCCTGGGTACTGGGCCCTGCCCCAGTGACATGTTCTGGGGAAACCTCTGACTCTGGGCCTGTTATGGCCTCCAGAAAAAATAGAAAAGGATATCCTTGCCTCCAGGCATTTGTGATTTACTGGGTAAAAAGCTTCAAAGATGATAACTGGTACTGCCAAAGGAAAGCGCCGGAAGCAAGTCTGAGGATATCCCCCAGGAATATTACCAACATTCTGAGCTCAAATTAACACCGGCAGATTAATACATGTAAAGGCTAAGTTCTGAGATCCTAGTATCATAAAGATAAATTCTGCAGGTTGTCAAAAATTATTGAAAAAAAAAATTGCCAATGAGGTTTGCTCCTTGGGCTGCCTTGTATGATCTCCTCGAAACAGAATACAATCAAAGAAAACACTATAAATCAACTTTACCTCCTAAACTACAAATCCTCTCCCAAACAGTAAAGTCCAAAAGGAAGAACACTGTACCAATAGCACTGTAGTAGACTTGTGGGGACCCTGAACAGGACACCATCCCCACCAGCCTAAGCTGTTACCCCGGGAGCCTGCCATGGGGAGGGGTCTCAGCAGGAGGAGGGGCAGCTGAGAACGTTCTCGGTGGGTTGTCAGAAACTGGACAGATGATGGGAGCTGGCGGGGGGCGGGGAACAGGAGGCAAGCTGGCATCTCCCTAGGTGGAGAGGAAGAACGACTCCCCACTAAACCCCCCAGCCAGGACACTCTGGATGCATGTCCCCCCAAACCCCAGTAGCAGAGAAGGGAGGGGTGGTTTGGCTGCCTCAGCTGAGCCTGTGGTGCCAGACGCCGGGGGATGGCCTCGGGACCTCCTCACTTAGACACAACAAGGCGGGCGTCCCCTCACCAGCCTGTCCCGCTTGGTGGCCCACTCTAGAGACAGCAGTGGCGACTTGGAAATGGAGGACGCTTTGGTCTGCATGATGGGGTTGAAGGACCACACTTTGATGACCCCGTCTACATCCAAGCTGGCGACCCTCCTTCCCGAGCAATCCACTCTAAGATGGAAGAGAGAAGGAGGCTGTTACCATCCCTGCCTGAGCCCACCATCCTCGTCAGCTGGAGCCCAGAGCATGGCCTCGCTGACTTCTCAACTGTCTCCCAAACTGCCTACACTCCAAGGATGGGCGTGGACTCTTTCTAGAAGTATTCATTCAGTCACCGGTCAAGAACTACTTAGCAAGAATCTATTCTGTGCTGAGCCCTGGGGGAAGCAGTGGGGACGGAGCAGCGGCGAGGGGCCCACGGCCCTGTGCCCAGAAAGCTGCGCCTCCTGCAGGACTCCAGAGCCACAGTCCCGCGAAAGGGAGCCCCTCACTCTCCCCAAACCACAGTCCACAAGGCCTCACAGAGCTCATGCTTTCACCATGCGTGACTAAAAACTTGTACATGGTGAAGGTTTACCGAAAAGTAAAACAACAAAACAACATATAGGAAATTATTTATATATACATATACATATATGTATATATATGTATATGTATATATAAAACATGTATATAAAACAACATAAAGCAAATTAAAGTTAAGTCTCAGTGAGTTAAAATAAAACTACAACTAAAACTAAAACTCATAGAGTTCCACAGTGAGAAAGGACAGAGAGGCTACCCAGGCCAAGAGCAGCTGTCCAGCCCTCCTCCGACTCTGGATGGATGACCGTGGTCCATCAGGGACCATCCCCCCGGAGGGACCTCCTTGCTGCCACACCTTCACATGCACAGCCTGACAAGCCAGGCCTCCCAGGGAGCCAGCCCCGCCAGCCCAGTCAGCACTTTCCCTGCCAGGGCCTCCCCCGGACCCCCGGAACCAAGCCCACCTGCAGTGCATGATAGAGGAGTGGTGCTCCCCGTACTCCTCCTGCCCCAGCACAATAAACGGCTGCTCGGGGCGGACCCCTCCGCCCTCGGCACCTGCTGCAGAAGCCCGTGTCAGCGTCTCCAGTGCCTCCACATGGGGCTCGGGGCAGGGCTCAGCCTCTGGGCCACTAGCCTCGGCCTTCTTCTCTGCGCTCTATGATAAGCAAAATGGGGACAAGTCAGCTGTGCGGGGTCTGCCCAGGTCCCAGCCCTTCACATCTGGGGACCTGCTGCAGGACAGCTAAGATGCCAGGCCACAGGATGCCGGGGGAGGCTCTGAGGGGCCACAGGCTCTAGAAGAAAGAGCTCTGGACACTAAGAGCAGCACCAGCTTGTCCAAGGAGAGGCAGATTCCTGCTCTGCCAGAGACCCTCCCCCTCTCAGAGGCCCTGCTGAGGGAGTCAGGGGCTGTGGGAACCCTGCCCTATCACAGCTGACACGACACAGGACAGGCTGACAATAAAAATCAGGGAGCACCCAGTAAGGGCCAGGCGCTGTATGCCTACATTTGATTCAATCATTTAATCCTGCCCCAAACCGTCCAGGATCCTATTATCAACCCCATCTGATAACTGTGGAAACTAAGACTGAAAGCAGAAGGTTAAATACGCTGCCCAAGGTCCAGAGCTGGATGCGAAGCCTCGCCCCACCATCCCATGAGACCGAGGCGACTGACCAGACATCGGGATGCAGACATGAGGACAGCGGCAGAACCACAACAAGGCCAGGCCCCTGCAGGCACCCCACACACCCTCTCTGCCTCCCCAGTGTTGGCTGGGGGTTGGCCCCCACAACTACTACTATTCCCCCTGACATAACCCGGGCCAGGGGGCACGGGCCAGGGCAGCCTTCACCACCCCCAAAGCCCTTGAGGCTCTTCAAAGTGCTCCTCGCATCACAGAAGCACAGCTCTACAGCAAAAATATAAGAGAGGGAGAGAGACCTCAAGCTCAGACAGGCGCCCTCTGGGAGAAGCTGAGCTCAGGCATGTCTCTAACCCGACGGGGTCAGAACAGGACCATCTGAGGTCAGAGCCACGAGGGTCTACTCCGCCGGCACACACAGGGCTGGGGAGCGGCAACAGTGCTTCTGACATCAGCCAGGAGCCCCAGACAGAGGGTAAGTGGTCAGGCAGGTGACATCGCTGGCAAATCGCTTGGATGTTTCACTTCAATCCGGAGCAAGTGACAGAGAGAGAAGCAGCTTTACTGCCAGGAAGGGTAGACCCCCATCCCATTTTCAGGGGAGAGGGGAGTCCCCAGGATCAGTGTCACGAGCACAAGTGCCTGGGTTCAGCACAACACCGCATGTCAGGGCAGCGTCTCCAGCATGGGACGCAGGAGGAAGGCACCCTGTGACCAAGCAAGGCTGGGTGATTCTGGGTGAAGGCAAGGGAAGCAGGTCTCTCCGGCCAAGCCTCAGAGAACCTGTAACCCATGAACAGCATTACATGGAAATTGGGAGGGGTACATGCAGGCCCTGCACTCCTCCACCGAGAGCCACGGCCCCCAAGGGCTGCCCCGCCAAGACCCAGCCATACCTGCAAAGTCATAGAGAAGAGCTCCTTCCTCTCCTTGCCGTGATCCTGCAAGCGCCGTTGCCGGTGCTGCGACCAGCTGGACTCCCCGGACGCCAGCCCGCCGAAGAGGCTCTTCCCATCTTTGGGCCCGCACGCCGTGTCCTTTCCCTTGGCAGTCTAGACAGCGAGACACCGGGTGGTGAAGGGCGGCTTCCTGCCGGAGGCCAGGCCATGACCCCTCAGCCAGCGGGGGAGGGGGGGGGCGCGGAGGCAGAAGCCAAGGAAGGGGGCAGCTTCTCTACCCCACAGCTCTTGGGGTGTGTGTGTGTACATGTACACACACACACACACACACACACACACACACACACACACCCCTTCATCTAACCAGAACAATTAACTCTAGCTAAGGGGCAGGAGACCTATGCCTACTGAGCGATGACTATGAGAGGGGTCAGGCCCCACGCTAAGTGTCAAAAATGGCTACAGGCAACTCAGTGTTTAGGCAATACAAAAAAAAATAATTATGCAACATATAGTCACCTCTCCAGAGCCCCAGAGGAACCAGTACCCTCTCTTATTTGGGCCAAGTATATGACAAAGCCAGCTGATGTTAACAAATACTGAGGTATTTGGAAATGATTACTAGGCAACCAGAAATTCTTAACAGAAATTACTGGAAATTCAAGGACCTCTGAGCAAGGTGGGAAAGGCCCTGTTTGATGGCAGGAGTGAAAAGGTGAGCAAGTTACAGCAGATGAATTCAATAACCCCCGCCCACTTCCATGGAGAGAAGATTCTTAATCTAGAGACTTTTTATTTTTAATTTTTTTTAAAGATGTATTTATTTATTCATTTTTTAAAAAGTTTTTTTTTGGGACGCCTGGGTGGCTCAGTTGGTTGGACGACTGCCTTCGGCTCAGGTCATGATCCCGGAGTCCTGGGATCGAGTCCCGCATCAGGCTCCCAGCTCCATGGGGAGTCTGCTTCTCCCTCTGACCTTCTCCTTGCTCATGCTCTCTCTCACTGTCTCTCTCTCAAATAAATAAATAAAATCTTTAAAAAAAAAAAAAAAAAAAAAAAAGTTTTTTTTTTTAATTTATTTGACAGACACACACAATGAGAGAGAGAACACAAGCAGGGGAGTGGCAGAGGGAGAAGCAGGCTTCCCACTGAGCAGGGAGCCCAATGCGGGACTGATCCCAGGACCCTGGGATGATGACCTGAGCTGAAGGCAATCACTTAACCAGCTGAGCCAGCCAGGGGCCCCTAAAGATGCATTTATAAGAGAGAGTGAGTATAGGGAGAGGGGCAGAGGGAGAGAAAGAATCCCAAGGAGACTCCCTACTGAGCACAGAGCCTGACTTGGGGCTTGATCCCATGACCCAGAGATCACAACCTGAGCCAAAATCAAGAGTCCGACGCTCAAGTGACTAAGCCACCCAGGAGCCCCTAGAGCCTTTTTAAAAGATGTCACCTCATCCTTCCAGATTATCTGGCTGGGCTGTTTCCAACCTTATTCCCACAAACTGTGATGGTCCCCTCCCTCCTCATTTTACAACTCTTAGCGAAAGGATCTGGATGCTAACAGCCACTCAGGTTTGAGACCAACCTCTTGGCAAGTCACTTGCACATAAGACGTGAGTCAAGAGAACTCAACCAAAGTGTGCTTGTTGCTTTCTACCCATTCTACTTTCTAGTTTTTATGTTAATATTAAACAACTTAACATGATTAACACAGATTCCTTGGGACCCTGGAGTCATGGGAAGAGTTGAAAAGGAAATTTTAAAGGACTATGAGTTCACATGGAACCTAACTGTAGCTGACCTTCATGGTACTGGTTATTTCTATTTTTCTGACTGAGGTGATCTCAGGGGTATCCACTTATGCTTGTAACAGAGGTTTCTTCTAGGGAAAGTATTTGATACTCTATATTCTGGCTTATTTTAGGAGTAGTAGGGTTCAAGATAAAAGATACAACCTAAAAGTCAAGATAAAAGAAATAACCTAAAAAAAAAACCAAAAAAACCCACAACAATAATGCACCAAAATAGATTACTCATTGAATGCTGACCATATACAAGGCACCATGCTAAGAACTTTACAAATGTTCCCTTAAAATAAAGATGAGGACATTAACAGGAGGAAGTCAGGCTTAGGTTAGGTTACTGCTCACACAGGGAGAGCTGGACAGAGGTGGAATTCCCACCCAAATCTGACAGCAAACCCCATGTCCCGAGAAACCTGATGAAAGCAACAGCATGAAAAGAGCACAGAGAAGAAAGTGACAATGAATAGAAAAGAAGAAATGTCATGTTCCCAGAACTAAATAACAAAGACAAGGCCCTTCTCACAGTACTTCTGGCCATTTCTGAGAAGTAAACCATGGTTCATGGAACACTGAAGAGGTTCCACAGTTTTAGAAAGTCCAAGAAGACTTCTCTAACATACCCAGAAGTAACAGTTGGTCAAGATATACAAGGAGGTCTTGAAACTAGTGCTGGCCCTCATTATAGGAATCCATTGATTCCTCCCCATATCTCTAAAGAAGAGGGAAAATCAGACCGAAGACTTCCCCAGGCTTAGCTATATATCTATCAGACGTAATAGACTTTAAGCCAAAGACTATGATAAGAAACAAAGAAGGTCATTATGTAATGATGAAGGGGTCCACGAAATAAAAGGATATGACACTTGAAAGTATTTATGCACCTGACACAGGAGCACCTAAACATACCCAGCAAATACCAAGGAGAAACAGGCAGCAATGCACTAATAGGGACTCCGATACCCCACTTTGAACAATGGAGAGACCATCCAGACAGAAAGTCAATAAGGAAACACTGCGTTGAACTACTTTTTACACTAGAAGGACCTAAAAGACAGACACAAAACATTCCATCCAAAAGCAACAGAATATACATTCTTTGCAAGCACACGGAACATTTCCAGGATAGATCACATGTTAGGCCACCAAACAAGGCTTAATAAACTTGAAAAGACTGGAAACATATCAGGCATCACAATCGTATCAAACTACAACTCAATCATAAGAAGAAAACTTAAAAATTCACAAGTATGTGGAGATCAAACAACATGTTTCTGAACAACCAATGGATCAGAGCAGAAATCAGAAAGAGAGGGGCGCCTGGGTGGCTCAGTGGGTTAAGCCGCTGCCTTCGGCTCAGGTCATGATCTCAGGGTCCTGGGATCAAGCCCCGCATCGGGCTCCTTGCTCAGTGGGGAGCCTGCTTCTCTCTCTGCCTCTGCCTGCCTCTCTGCCTGCTTGTGCTCTCTCTCTCTCTCTGTCAAATAAAAAAAATAAAATAAAATCTTTATTAAAAAAAAAAAAAGAAATCAGAAAGAGAAACCAAAAAATACCCTGAGACAAATGAAAACGTAAACACAGCACACCAAAACTGGTAAGATGCAGCAAGTGCAGTTCGAAGAGGAAAATTCATACCGGTAAATGCCTCCATCAGGAAAAGGGAAAAATTTCAAATGAACTTCCTCAAGAAACAAGAAAAACAAGTGAAGCCCAAAGTTATAAAGATCAGAATAAAGGTTGATGAAATAGAGAGTAAAAGGACAATATAAATGAGCAATAAAATTAATGGCCAGCTTTTTAAAAGATAAAATGACAAAACTTTACCAAGAGAAAAAGAGGACTAAAAGAAAAAAAAAAAGAATAATTCCAAGATACATCTCTAAAAACTCTCATATTCTAATAGAAAAGACAAAACAAACAAAAAACCAACAGTAGTAGAGGCTATGTTTTCGGATTAAATGTGGCTACGGCAACTCCATAGCCAGCTATGAGCACAGTGGGGAAGAGAAGGAAGATCACTTTCCTGGGTGGACAGCCATTTTCCAAAATAATGGGATCCAGGCAAGTGAGGAAGTCTCAAAAAGCCTGGACCAACTACAATGCAGTTGTGATAGATTTATCAGCCTGAGCAAGAGATCTTTACACTGGACACTGGAGAAGAAAAGGGAAAAGGATCCATACAATATTACATTCATGCCCTGGAAGTACGTGGACCACAGGGGGATCCAGCCTGGGCCCCGAGGGTGGGGAATGCCACAGAGGGCAGACAGGCACTCCGTGGCACGCTCTCCTTCCCCTGCCCATCCGCTACATCTGAGAGATGGCGTCTCTTCCCTTTTCAGTGCTAAGTCCATCAATGAGCCCGTACTGATGGAAGAGAGAGGCATGGGATGGACTTGAAATCCCTCTAGCTGACACACAAGTCACTCGTAGCACTTCCCCAGCCAGGACAGGAAATGCAACATGAAGAAGGACAAAGGCAGCGCTTCTCTTCAAGTCAAGATGGCAAGGAAGTTTCCAGTAGGTCTTCGGGTAAGGGCTGGACCATCCCCCAAAATGAAAATTCAAACAGGTGTTAACAAAAGGCACCACAATGAGCTGAAAAACTGCCTTGATAATGAGAGGGTAGTTTATGCCCAGAGAACCAGGGGCCTCCATGTGGCCTATGAGATTCTGCTTAGAGAGAGCTTCTCCTTCAGCCTCATCTCATTATTACTCAAGAAGAGTGAAAAGAACAAAAAACGATAAGGCAGATGAAAGCAGCTCTCCACGGAACACTTGAGTAAGTAGGTTAAGGTAAACTTGTGTCTAGCTACAAATACTCAATACAAATACTCAAATAAATGTTTACTGTGGTGATACTGGTAAGTCACAGTTTTGAAAGCAAACCTCATAAAAGTCTTAACTACCAGATTCACATAACATTCCAAATGGCCCAAATTACATTGTCATACTCTACTGTAATCTACCTGTCTCCTACAGTTCAGGACAAATATTTTAACCTTTGTTTTATCATTTCACTTTGCCTTTCTTTCTAGAGAGAGAGAAAAGTTAATTTTCAGTGGCCTGAATAGAGTTTCCCGGGCAGTCATCCAGATGGGCCAGGAAACAAGTCCCAGCAATCTGGTGTCGCCTGACGTAAAACAAAGCTACCAGAAGACAGGGCCTCATCACACTTAAAATCATAGAACAAAAGTTGTGGAAGAGGGCTCCCTCTTCCTCCGTCCTGTTAAAATCCATGGAAGCAGCCCCACTATGAAGTACTTTGATAGGAGTTAAAAATGCAGTTCGCTTTCCTTACATTGCAGCCAATTAAAGGTTATCTCTATAATAACCGGCAGCCCTATAGCTTCCTGAGTGGGAGTGAAAGGAGCGGCATCATAAGGCTGGCGGGAAGGATGGAGTGCAAGTTCAGGCTGGGTCACCGGCAGCGCAGGTGCCCTCAGGCACTATCCTAACAGAGATCCCAAAGGAGCTTGGGAGCTGTGGTTTTCGAGTCACTTCCATTTGTTTCTTAAGTCTTGCCTCAAGAGTCCTATAAAACCCAGAGTGCACCAGCATATATTGCGGCACGTCTGATAGCATGAACGTTTCAGGAGCAATGACCAGCAGTTGTGACGACCCATCACAAGTGGGCAAAATGCAGATGTGACTGAAATGTACAATGTTATATATAAATAATATTTAAAGCAGGAAAGCCTGATTATTTTATTTATTGCTAATGTAATAACACAGCCTATGTTTTTCTTTTGTTTCTTCATTAATAATAAAGAAAGAGAGCTCTGTTGTGTCAAAAGTGAAAAAAAAGACTGTGCTTCATAGGCACTAACAAAGCAAGGTGGCTCATTAAAAAGCCAATGTCATTAAAAAGTTAAAACCAATGTATTATTAAAATCACAAGAAGTAATCATACAACTAACTGCATTTGGTATTGGTAAGAGAGCATCTCAAAATTATACACTCAAATTTGGTGGGTTAACTGTGACAGAAGAATTAAAAAATTAGAAGGTGCCCCAGAGGAGGGAGAGCAGGATGGTGAGTGGTGTAGAAATCATGCCATAAGGGAAACCAGTGGAGGGGAGAGGGAAGAATGAACAGAGAGTACTCAGCATGGAAAGATAGGAAGCGTCCTAACAAAAAGCCTTATTTTATGTAGCTCGAAGGGCAAAGCTAACATCAGCAAGTGAAAATTACAGCGTTTTTTTTTTTTAATTTTATTATTTATTTGACAGACAGAGATCACAAATAGGCAAAGAGGAAGGCAGAGAGAGAGAGGGATAAGCAGGCTCCCTGCTGAGCAGAGAGCCCGATGTGGGGCTCGATCCCAGGGCCTTGGGATCATGACGTGAGCCGAAGGCAGAGGTTTAACCCACTGAGCCACCCAGGTGCCTCAAAATTATAGCGGTTTCTACATACAGCTTTCTAACAGGAAAATATCCTCACACTAGCAAGTAGTGAGATCCACATCACAGGAGGCAATCAAAGGATGTGCTCCTCTACAAAATAGAAGTGGGGGGCCAAAATGATCTTTAAGCTTCCTCCAACTATAAAGTTCTGAATTTCCTGAACCTCAAATATACTAGTTATTTTCAGAATTGAAACATCAATGTGGAGTCCTACAAATTAATAAAATCGCAAGTGACCCCATTTTTCAGATGACAGACATCTATTATCCCATTTCCCTTTCCATGAAATGGAAAGAGAGCTACCTCCACTCTGTTAACATACCATACAGTGACCCAAGTTCTGTTGGAATATATTTAGAGGCAAGGACTGCTTGCTGTGAACGACATTCTTACCCTCATCCCTTGAACATGAACTACACAAACAAGTTCCAATCCCATTCCCATCTCATCATGTGACACTTAGTTCCTGAACACATAAAGAACAAGGCCGCAGACTTAACCCCAAAGAACCCATCCTCGGTTTTTCTTTCATTTTAAGTCAATGAAATTGAATTTCATAATTTCATGCATTTTTCAAGAGCCCGAGCACCCCATCCATGATCTATTACACTTAGAAAATATTGAACTATGACAGGGATCTCCAGAGCAAATGGCAAAACTTACTCAGCCACATTCCACAGAACTGGAATTCAGAAAACCCGCCATGGGCATCACCAGGATGGCTCTGTGACGGCCGCAGGCCTCCTGAATGCCAGGTGAGAGTCATTTAGCGTGGCTGGGACCTGGGGTCTCCGAGCTGAAGCGGGGACCCAGGAAGGCCAGTGCCCTTGCTAAGACCACCAGCGCTGCTACAGTGTACTGGGCATGCACAGTCTGCCAGTTCCATGAAGTCTCCCCCTAGGCAAGACGTGTCTGTATCGTCTCAAGCAAATCAGGGTGACTTTCAGCCATCTGAGCAAGGACGCTGAACAAGGAGCCGCAGCTGAAAGGACATCACCTGCCTCTGAAGCCCACACTCTTCCCTCCCCAGTGCCCTGCTCAGCATCTGCACTTCAGCAGCAAAACAGCCCCGCAGGTCCCGGGGCACATGCCCCGCTTCCCCGCTGCAAGGAGCAGCCCCAAACTGCTGCGTCACTTGTAACGGTTCCCGAGCCAAGGGTGGCGGGAGAGGAAGGCCGCGATTATGATGACTGCCTTTATCTGTAACGAATAAAAATACATTAAAAGAGCAAGGATCCTCGGCCAAGCAAGGAAGCATGACTGTGGGTCTGTTAAACTTTCACTCTGGAAGGCACTGCTGAAAGCCATGAATTCTGACCAACTCTGCCAGGAAAAGTCCTCAGTGGGACCCAGGGCTGTTTTGGACATGAACTAGCATAAAAGAAATTCCCCTGCGAGCGGCTATCAAAGTGAAAAATAGCGAGAGGCCTTTGCGGAATCAGTAAATCCCAGCTTGTAAAAGCAACGCACTGATTCAGAAGTAACTCTAACTTACTCCTTTTCTACACACTGCTTTAGATCACCCAAAATTCAAAATTCCAGAATTGCCTGAATTCACCCTCAAGCCACCACACCCCAGTCACAAGTGCTCACGAGTTCAGAGGAGCTTAGGAGGGAAAGGGAAGAGATTCAAAGCGCACTGCTCACAGCCAGGCTGCTGCTCCCCTGCGGGCTGTCACAGCTTTCAGGCTTGGCACAGGAGTGCGGGCGGTGTAGAGGGCAGGGGGCTGGGGGAGAGGTCCCTCCAGATTAGACGTGGGTCTGAGACCTGGCCCGACCCTTGGTCCACAGCACCCACCAGCCTCCCATCTCACTGTGCCCACACCACCTGCAGCTGCGGCCGGAAGAGGGGAAGGGGGGCGGGCGGGCAGAGGCTGTGCGAGGTGATTTCCTCCTCACTGCCTCAGCGCCTCCATCCTGCTCTTATCTGTGGCCTGGCCCTGCGGCACTGCCTGCCGGTGAGAAGGAGGTGGGGAGGAAGGAAGAAAGGGAGTGAGATGTGAAGTTAGGATCTCACCAGCATACCAGAGAAATCAGTCCTAAGAACAGAACAAACAAAGTCGGAAAATACAGTCTCGGAAGCCAGGGGCCTCTTGGCAGTTAGAAACGCAGGCCTTGCACTCACCTGACCGCTGAGAGGCTCTTTCCTGGCTGAGCTCGGAGCCTGAGAGGGACCCTGGGCAGGCGACAACCTTGAGGGGCTCTTCTTACTCTGAGGCAGCAGGGAGGACAGGAAACCCACTCGAGGCGACTGCGACAGGGAAGTGTTCCTCTGGCTGCACACCATGGCCCTGGACCAGCAGACACACAAGGTCACAGGGCTGGAGGGGGACCCAAGAGGACCCAAAGCACAGGCCTCCTGGGCTCTGGACGGCACCGGGGCGTGGCCCGGCTTTCAGGTGGCATTATCCCTGAGACCGCCTCCTGTACCCAGGGGAGCCTGCAGCCTCTCTGGCACGACTGGGACGCCCGCCGCACTCTGAGGGCCGAGGTACAGTTCAGAGCCATGCGCTCCAATAACCACCTAGCCACTCGTGCCACTGAGCCCCTGGCACGCCGTCAGTCCCACAGGCCCTGTGCTGGAGAAGCACGACACTCCTCGGGATTCAAGCCTCAGCAGGAAAACGGAGCAAAATAGCTCACGGGTCCTTCGTTTCTGTTCAACCCACACTGAAACGATATCGTGGACATACTGGGCTAAATAAAATACTTCCTAAAATTAACTGCACCTGTTTCTTTTTACTGAGTATTAAGTACAATTTTTAAAAAAAAGATTTTATTTATTTAACAAAGAGACCCAGCGAGAGAGGGAACACAAGCAGGGGGAGTGGGAGAGGGAGAATAGGTTTCTCATGGAGCAGGGAGCCCAATGTGGGGCTCAATCCCAGGACCCTGGGATCATGACCTGAGCGGCAGGCAGACGCTTAACAACTGAGCCACCCAGGCACCCCTAAGTACAAATTTTTATGTGCTGTTTTTGGCTTGCCCTGGGGTTCCACTGCACCAGGCTAGCTCAGACACCAGCGCAGTTTCCCCCAGTATAGCACCTGGCCTCGTGTAGGTCTGGAATCTGCCTGCCTGGCTTTGCATCCTGATTCACCAGTCGTTAGCTGTGGGACCACTGTGAGCCCCGGTATCTTCAACGGCTACCATTGTTCTCATCAGCTGGGGCCTCCGCTCTAACTGGCTGTGTTCTAAGCTAGCTGCTAGCCACCCACCTGCCTACCTCTCCAAAGCCTCGGGTGGGAGCACGCTTTCACCACACACTGCATCCAACCTTTTCATCCGCAAGGCACTGCTTTCAACACACACACACACACACGCGCGCGCGCACACACGCACACTTCCTGAGGCTTTAGGACAGCGTCTGTGTTTATTTACCCAGATGTGCACATCTGGGTGTGCAGGCCCCTCCCTTGGGGCAGGTTCAGAGGCTAGAGGGCTTTAAAAGCCAGGGGAGCTTACTTAGAAAGCTCAGGCGGGAACAGTGAGGGCCAAGGAGGCTCTCCAGCAATTCCCTGTCACCAGGAATGGAGGGGAGGGTCAGGGTGAGGCGACAGGGGACAGATTAGAGGAGGGGACCGCCCACCCGCCCCTCCCACCCAAGCAGGCGCACACTCACAGCTCCGAGTCCCCCAGGCGGTCCATGTGGGAGACATAAGGAGGCAACTGGTGCTGGACCAAGGCCTCTTCCTCCTCCGGCTGCAGCTCCTCTTTCTTCAGGCGGTGGATTTCGGCTTGCAGGGCGAAAAGCTGAGTGGGGGTGCGGGCGAGTTAGATGGTGACCTCACCCCATCTTCCCTCTGCTAAGGAGCAGCAGACACAGCACGTCCAACACCCAGCCTCCTCCAACACCCAGCCGTCCAACATCCAGCCTCGTGGGCCTCGGGGCACCAGCCCAACCCTCTGCTCACCACCCAGTGAGATACCAGGCCAGGGGCAGCTGTTCCTTGACTATACTGAAGTGAGACACCGACAACTGTCAGACACACAAATCCCACTTTCTTTCTTTTCGTCATTTGACTTGCTTCTTCCTGAATTCATGGAGAAAAACAGCTCCACCCAGTCCTGTTTTGCTCTTTGGAAAATCTACAAAATCAGGCTCTGGAAGTCTCATGGATAATTTTTTTTTTTTTAAACACAGTTCAGCATTTTTGACCTTATGCCTGAAAAAAATTATATACACACACGCACCTAAAATGCAAACAGCTTATAATCTTCCTTTTTCCGAAAATATGACCTACAGTTGCCTTAATTTCAACAGCAGAGAAGTGCTCCTCCGACAAAATATAAAGGCGAATGTGGGTCCCCCAGCTCCAGCGTTTTACCCAACTAGAGGCTCCTGGAGCTGAGCAGAACAATGACTATACATGGGCTGTAAACAACACAGATGTGGACATACAGGACTGGGGGCACAAAAGAGACACAGGAAAGCACATAGTCTTCTTCCTCTCAAAGTTCATTACCATTGCTATGTTATTCATGCTTTACACGGGACTTATAATATGAACCTGACCTCTGTTTCCAGAGACTATTACAGCCCCCCAAATCTCCAATACTGCCTCTCTGGTGACTCACTTACATCTGAGATTAGTGCTTCCCTATTTTTAATCAGCCCTCCACCACCACTACCTAATTTCACATACAAAAAGCAGAAGTTCTTCCCAAGAAGCAAGCGTGTTTAGAACAAACCTTCTGGCGAAGAACTTCATTTTCTTCTTGAACCTGGTTGGTCCTCTGGCATTCCGCATCGAAGTTCAGGATTACGGGAACTGGTGCCCAAAGTTAAAGAAAAAGCCTGCCTGCGATGATTAAAAGCCCTTCCCAAACTCTTGATACAGCAGCAAAACCCTTGAACACGAGTTACAGGGAGCAGAGGACAGACTTAGTCCTGCAGGCTCTCCACAGTTGTATGGAATCTCTCCCTTGAAGCTGGGTCTGGCCTTTCTCCAGAGACTCACACTCACGCCAATCTGGCTGGTCAGCCCACAAAGAGGACATAAATCTAAACCTGAGTGTTTTCTCCCTAAACACCAGCAGCAAAGAGCTCACACTCAGTGGGCCTCCCAGCCAGTGCAGGCCATAGCAAGGTCAGGGCAGACAGTGAGAAGCGATCCCAGGGGCCAGCTGGTCTACCATCTGGGCAGAAGCCTCAGCCACTTGGCTTGCCCCTCCCCAGTCTGTACCTCTTCCTAGTAAAGGTATAGACTGAGGAGAACGCTTTCTGCAGACTGGACAGTCCCGTGCCATGCTATGAATATCATTCTAGGTCAGGGTGTCCATCTTTCCCACCACCTTAAACAGCTTCAGTCAAGGGGAGCACAAAGCAGGCAAAGGGTCTTGGTCCTGGGGAAGTGAACTGTAGCTCAAATGTGTGTGACCTAGTTTGCAGGGCACTGTCTTGCACTGAAAAGACCTTCAGTGACATTTCCGATTTCCATAGAGGGCCCATATGGTCGTGTCATAACCACCACTGGGCTGAGCCCCCTGCTAGTCTAGCCTGAAAGCCCTCAGGATAAAAAGCAATAGGGGACAAGGAGGAGGAGGGGCTTTTATACCTGGCAAGAGTGGAATTCACCCTCAGACCCACAGCACAAAAGGAAGGGGCACCCTTCCTACCTCCACCAGCTGTCTCTCCCAGAGGCCGAAATGGGTCACCTGTGGGTGGGCCCATAAACACCCAATTTGTCAGTGACTCACCAGGCAGCAACCTCCAAGCCGGATTCCCTTTTCCTCCTCTAGAATTTCAGCCTAAAGGGCATGAGCCCTGGAGGATATCCTGGGCCTCAAGAATGCAGGCTTTCCACGACAAAATGGTAAACCCGGTGGGCTACAATTTATTTACATTCTCCCTCTCTTAACTATCCATACACACATTCTGAGAGCCGCTCTGTTTTCTGGCAAGTTGAGAAACACGGAGGTAGCTGTCAGAGAGTGACCCAAACGCGAACACAGGAAGGAAGCTCTAGCCCAAGAAGTATTCTGACCTCCTACCTGATCTCAACAAGGCAAGTAACACCCTGAGGGGCACAGGGCACGCACGGACAGGGTATTCTCCAGGCTGGCCAGTTGCAAAGAGCAGCAGCTGCACCAGCTCAGCCCTATCTGAGGGCTCCCAGCAGGGCCAGGCACTTGGACCTCATTGCTACTACTGTCCCAACTCGTGCATGTCAGCTACTGCTTCAGCAGCGGCACAATGAAGATTCATGATTTCCTGGCCTGCTGACAAAAATAACCACGGTCTGTCCAGCCCCCTCACATAACACATGACAACGATGCTGGGGCAGTGCATCGAGAGCAGCGGCCACTGATCACGCTGTCTGGGCAGACCAGGCCCACAGCCCCAGGCAGCTGGGAGGATATGCATGCACTGAAACAGGACGCTCAGGAAGTTGTGCAGGGACACAATGAAGGTATCGGCCCACTGTCGAGAGAAGTAGGTAGCGAAGGTGGGGTTGGTGTCTGGGGATGGCAGGAAGGGCAGGACAAACCAATCCTTCCACTCGGCCTGGTTCTGGAGCTCTGTGGCCTGCTTTGCAAAGAACTCTTGAGCTTTGTCATTTCTGTTTGTCTGCCAAGACAAAGAGGAGGCAGCAGAAAGGGGTACGAGACAGAAGTCCAGAATTAAGATAAGTCATTACTGCACAAAAGAGAGCCTCTAGATAGCAGCCTACCAGAAAAGTGGCCAAATATAATCTACAAATGCCATAAAGGATAATACTTTTCTCAAGTTCCTTGTAATTTCTAAGAAGCTGGTTTAAATTGAAACCCTGAAGATAAATGCCATCCTAAAAATTGATTCCTAGTTGATTTCCAAACAATCCAAGTGACTTATCCCCCGGGGTCAGCTATAATTTTTATTACTCAAACTTTAACCCAGCTACTTATATTCTTTGAAACGCCACCCAGGCTTATGTGCTTAAAACAAGAAAGGAAATAGGAATGAGGAAGACAGGTCAGCTGATCTACAGAGGAGAAGGGAAAAAAAGTAGGAAAACAGTAAAAAATAATTCGCACTATAACTGTTCCCCTCTTTCCCACAGGAACACAGAGTCCTCCCTAGAAATTAAAAAGGAAATCTATTTCAGGGTCAAAGAACTCTCTCCAAGGAATCCCGGAATGAACAAGCACCTGGATGGTGTAGACAAGATAAAAGCGGAACAGGCTGGTTTTCAGCTTGTTGATGGTGGGTCTATATATATCCTCCAAGCGACTGAAGAGTCGCCGTTCCAGGTAACTCCAGTAATCCCGAAGGGCAGCCAAGTCATACACCTGCATTAACTGCTGCAACTGGTCCACAATCTTGTCCACCTGGTGGAGAAAGATGAGATGGAGAATGTGGTGAAGGACAAGAGGGAATTTTCCCATCACTTCACAGAGCTAATACAGCTTTTTCCTCTTGCTGTGGCTTCTGATGTTAGAGGGTTTTTTGTTTGTTTTGTTTTGTTTTTTAATTAGCCATCTATAAAATGTACAAAACATTGTAATATAATAGCTTTTGAGTTATTTTCTGACGTTAGAAATGTGGTTTGACCCTGTAGCAAGCATGGAAATGTCAAGCGTAAAAGCACAAAGCAGGAGAACCTGAGTCTAGGTCTTGGATCAGTGTGTCTGGCTTATGCAACCAACTTGAAAATGTTACTTCAACTCTTTGGTCTCAGTGGCCTAAGATTTGAAAACAAAAAACCAGAGAGACAACCTCCATCATCCCTCTCCCAGCTCCACCATTCCAGGAGTCCTAGACTCAGGAAGAGATGCACTGACTGACCCAAATCCTGGTAGCTTATCAGACTGTCAACCAAAGAAGTCACCTCCATGTGAGAAATCACACCGGAGGACACAGTATTGCCTCTCTCTCAGTTCACCTGTCAACACCAGTTAGACTCAGCAAGCACACGAATCACACACATACACATTCCAAGAACCTCTAAACAGAAAATCATGTCTGAGCAGGGGAAATATAACGTTCTAAAATGTACAAGGTCTTCCTCAACTGCGGAGACAAAATTGCCAGTAAGTCCCCCACAATGCCATTTTAAACAAACACCAAAAGATACCCAGCTAACATTTTGGGCTGCAGACCCCTTTGCTCCCAATGCCATCAGAAGCTAACTTTTTCATATTTCTGTTGCCCAAACTTAACTATCTACCCAACCTTATCTCCTAAAACCCTTATCTTCATCCTGGCCAGTTGGCCAGCACCTGCTCGGAGACTGGCGTGGAGGACAGACACCCGGACCAGGAGTCAGGGCACCTGGGCTCCAGCCTCAGCGATGCTCCTGACTCGCTGGGCAACTTCAGGCAAGTCTCGTCCCCTCTCAGGACCTCAGTTCCTCATGTGTCAAGGGAGGGCCAGACGCGCTGATGCAGACGGTCCCCCCGGGCGCACTGACAGCGCGGCTCCCGCCCCGGAGGGCAGAGCTTGGGGGGAGCCCGCTCCAGTCTCCCTCGGGGCCGCCTCTGCCCGCGCCGCACCCGCCGGCCCCTCACCCGGAACCCTTTCTCCTTGTCCGCCTTGATCTCGGCGTCCAGCTGCCTCAGCGTGTGCGTAAAGCCGCGGAAGAGCAGATACTCCCGGACCAGCTCGTCAGTGCGCTCCACAGCCTCCGCCATCGCTGCGCGAGCGCCGTGAGCGGCCGCGGCAGGCAAGAGGCGGAGAGGCGGGGTCTCGCCGCGCGGGGCGGAGCCGGCCGCCGGCGCCAAGCACGTCACGCCGCGGCCCGCCTAGCAGCCCGCACGCAACGCGCGCCGCGCGCCTGTGGCCCCGCCCCGGTCCCGCCCCTAGCCCTGCCCAGCCACTTCCGTCAGCATCAGCCTCCGGGAGGAGCGACTGAACTACCCTTTGCTCGCCTGGCTTTCCAGGCGTCCCTGGCGCCGGCTTTGTGATCTGACTTATTGAAAGCGGCGGCTGCTGTCCAAGTCAAGCAGGGTTGGACCTTGGAGACCATCCCAGATAGTCACGAGGCGGGCAGGGGGTGAGGTGCCCTGCTCATTGGCATTCCATCGCGGAATCCTCTGTGCCGCGTCCTCGTTTTACAAATAAGGGAAACTGGAGTCCGGAGGGAAAGTGACTTGTGTGCAGTCACACAACTAGTTGTGTCATCACAGAGTGCTAGAGAAAAGCCTTGCTTTCATTAGTACGACTACCCAACTACAAGGCAAGATAACCAAGATAAAAGAAAAAAGAAAACAAATTTCAAAACAGTCTGTAAACTGCGGTCCCAGGTTTTTTAGAAAAGAAAAAAGGGTATGCGTGTATGCGTTTGTGTGTACCTTTTGAAACTTAAGGAAGATTATACAACTCACCGCTTATGGTTGTTTTCTCTAAGAGGTGAGACTATGAGGTACTTTCACTTCCTATTTTTTACTTTTGTTTGAAATGCTTACAAACTAATTTTATATATTTATAAATATTTTTGTAAGCAGGGAATAGCCAGTATCTTTGAGACTTCCATTTCTCCTCTGTAAAATAGTGACAGTGATATCAGAGTATCACTGCAGAATAATGAAAATTTAGTAAGATTGTTGGTGTAAAAAACTTAGCACAATGAATAGCCCATCATTCAAATGCAGTATTCGATCCCTTCTTCCCTCTAGTGGTATGGCTTTCTGTGTTTATCAAAGTACAACTCACAGAATCATTACCACCACTTTGTCTAGACCCTCCCACCCAAATATATGGATATTTAACTCCAAAGGGGGTCTGATATGCACTAGGGAGCCCCAAAAAGATAACAGGGAGCAAGCCACAATAAGACAAGTTTCACCTTCTGCCTGCTTTAGCTGTGTTCACAGGTGTCAGTATTCCCCAGGCACCCAGGCTTGACCCACAGGGCACAGAAGGAGAGTCACCGCTGTGACTAGTAGGAGGACCAGACCAAAATCCTACTTTGACTGGGATGTCAGATCATCGAAAGGGAGCTTGGGAAATCCCGAAAAGGAGCACGGGCCAAGACCTTTGCCAATAGGAGTGTTGCCAATTAGATTCTCCTAAGGCACCTGCAGGGCTCAGCCACAGCGGCCACCTCCGTCACCTCCACCTGCCCTGGCAAGTCCCAGAGCAGCACCTGTAAAATCAGCCACAGTTGCTTTTCTGGTCAATGCAAGGCAGCTCCTCCAGGCTCTGTCATAAGCTTTTTCCTCTGTCAGGGATGTCCTCTCCTGGATACCCACATGAAGGCGGCTCCACGCGTTTGTACTAACGTCAGCTCGGAAAGGCTCTCTCTGACCATCGTGTACAGCAGTCCTCTCATCTCCAGAATTCTCCCCCTTGCCTTGCTATATCTTTCTCACACTTATCCCAGTGTGACAAACTAGATTTTTTACTTATTTTTTCTTTCTCTCTCCTCTATGCTAAAATATAAGCTGCATGAAAGCAGAGATTTTTGCCTGAATTGTTTGCTAGCATATCCTCAGAACTTAGAACTATGTCTACCTTATGGGAGATGCCCAATAAATATTTGTTGAATGTATGAATGAGGGCAATTTCAGTGAGGGCCCAGCCACCTTCAAGCAGGATCGCCCTGCTAGAGGGAATATAAACTCTAGGATCACTCCCATGTATGGGCTCTATAGGCTTCTGGCCAACCTGGTCCCTGTCCAGAGCATTCCATCTTCCCATCTTCTCTCTGTACCATTTTGCTTACACTTTAAAGATTTCTGGAGACATTCAGCTGAGTTGTCTTTATGTAACTGGAGAGGGCACTAGATTCTCCAACTCATTCATTAGCTCTAGTTAGTTGGTCTGATTAATCTTTCACTGCTTATGGCTGCTCCGAAAGTAGCCTGGGGTTCCTTTAAGAAGGTGCTGTCGGGAGCCTGCAGCAGTGCCATTACGCAAAGCAAATTATGCGGCACCCACAAGGTGAACCACAAATTATCTTTTCTTCTAATCCAATCATCTCTCTTTGCCTCTGACTTGGGAGAGAAGGGAGAACAAGGATGGTGATGGGGGCGGGGGGACAGTAAATAGTTATGAGCACCTAGTCGATGCCAGGCACTGTGCTAGGTGTCAGGGACATGTTAATAAGGAAGCCCAGGGTGTCTGCCCTCAGAGCTAACTCCCCTGGGGGTTGGAGAAGCCAGACAACTGAAGTCTGAATCTCTCTCTCTCTCTCTCTCTCTCTCTCTCTCTCTCTCTCACACACACACACACACACACACACACACACACACACACCCTGGCTGCAGAATGGAGGCTGGATGGGACGGGGACAGGGCTGGAAGGAGGATGGAGGCCAGACAGGAGGCCGAGGCATTCCAGCAAGGGATGAGACTAGACCAGTAGCAGTGGGGATCAAGAGCAGGGGGAGGATTTGAGAATTCCCGAGAAGGGCAATCTTGTGGGCTTGGTGACTGACTAACACAGGTGAGTAAGGAGCAGGGGTCTTCGGTGATTGGCAGGTTTCTGGTTTGGGTGACAGTGCCATTCGTGGGCAGAGGGAACTCAGGAAGAGGAGACTGTGGGAATTCCCGACTGGTTTTGGTGGCCACTAAAACAGAGACCCAGAAACAGGATATAACACTAGGTCCTGGAGCGTGGCTCTCCCACCTCCCTCCCATGGAGGCTTCAACTATTATCTGTACAGCCCAAGTCTGTACATCGCACAATTTCTGAGATTCCTTTTCACCCAGTCCTTTGCCTGATGACAGCCCGTGGTTGTTCATTTGAACTCCTTCCATCCTTTGAGACTCGGCCTGGTTATCCTTGGCCCTTACCATCTGGTAGCACTGGGTGTTCTCTCTGTTCCCATGGTGTGGCACCCTGTACGTGCTGATCGCACTGCTTTGTAACCATCTGTCTGTCTTCTCTCCCTGGTTGTAAACTCCAGAGGGCAGAGAGTATGTCTTGCTGACCCTAGTGTCTCCGGTGACGAGCATGGTGTTTTGAAAGTACATGCTCTGCTGGGTGTTCTATGCAAACAATGAATCATGGAACACTACATCGAAAACTAATGATGTACTGTATGGTGACTAACATAACATAATTTTTTAAAAAGACATTAAAAAAAAAAAGAAAGTAGGTGCTCAATAGCTGTTTGTTGAATTAGTGAGGAAATAAAGTCCATGTGACTGTACAGCCTAGAACGTTGTTACATATGCAGTACAGAGTGCCAAGGCCAAGGGCAGAGGAATCTTTTCTACCTGTGGTCAGTGCCATAAAAACTATGAGTGCTTCTGACAACTGGAAGAGGTCCACCATGACCCACGTAGCAACTCAGTTTCCTTATTGATGCCCCTGGACTCTGCTTTCAGCCTGTTTATACATAAATGTTTAACTCACTGAAAGTTAATAGCATGCTCATTAAAAAAAAAAAATCCTCTCTCCACCTATCAAAATTGCATTTTTTAAAAATATATCGTCCAGTATTGATAAAAATAAAATGAAAGGGGTATTCTCATGAACTTCTTTTCCAGGAATGAATTTATAAATGACCAAGCCCCCCAGAATGTTCTTACTCTTGAACCCAATGATTCTACTCCTAAAATTCCCCTTAAAGAAATAATAAAAAATGACAAGATTCGTGCCCAATAGGGTTGTTTCTAAGAGTGTGAGTTATTTGTAACAACGAACGTTATTTACAGTAGTGGAAGTTGTAAGTACTTGGAGGCCAAAATGGTATGTCCCCCAACAACTGAATGAGGAAATTGTACTTCCCACTGAGTGTCAAACTGCAAAACCCTCTCAAATGATCAGACACCAAAGACACAAACTCCATGGAAAGACAGAAAAGCTAGTAGGCTCACAGGACTGGATTGAAGGGCATCAACTCACAAAATAAATATGGTGTCAGTCAGAAGAGGTTTTAAATGCAGAAATCCAGAGAGGTACTATAGGAAGAGCCCACTGAAACCCTCCTACCCAGCTCAGCCAGTGGATGATGTCCTTGTGCTCTGTCCTCTGTCCTCCTCAAGATGAGAAGGAGGCTGTAGGCCACCCCCAACTGGACCATTAAAGACACCTCACTCCCCTTTTCCTGGTTCTAAGTTCACCAAGGGCCCATCTGATTCTCCTGGCACTTGACTACATGAAGATTTGTGGCATCGTGAAGTCTTTCTCCTGGCAAGCTAAAAGGGAATTTCCGATTATGACAGCCTTCCAATGAAGGTGGAAAGGGATGTCGCTTATGTCAGTGCTCCCATGAACCCTCCCTGTCCCTGTGACAGTTGTATTGCTCATTGAACGATGAAACACGGGACACTGCGATGTCTCCCTCGGGGCCCTGTGCAACCAAGTCACCATGAATCCGTCCTTCAGAGCCTGCTCACCCCTGGCCACTGTGAGAACCAGCTCCAGCCGGCCTTTTCCCAAACCTCCACGTGCAGGAGTCTATTCATGATTTCCACGGGGAAAAAGAAATGTGAAACAATCAAAATATTCCACATTTGGGGAAAGCTTAAATAAATCATGCTACATGTATCCCACGCAATATTATATCATTGTTAAGAGTCATGTTTCTTTAAAGACTAATTACTTAGAGAAATAGTCACACAGCATGTCAAAAATGTATGATTCACACTGCAGAAAAAACTCCGGCAGTTTCTTATAAATTAAACATGCAATTACTGTAGGACTCCCTAAGGGTCCTTTTGAGTATTTATCCCAGAGAAATGAAAACTTAC